CCGATTTAGAGGTTCTGTTTCCCTCAGCAGCAGGCTTTTCCAACACTGGGAACTGCCCAAACGTGTTTATCTGTGCAACATACGTGGCCTGTTGGAAGAGAATTCCAGAAAGGCGCTTTCACCTACCCACGTGACATTGCTGAGGGTGTTCTCATCTTAACCTGGGGTTTCCCCCTTTGGGGAGAGCAAGCCAAGGAGCCTTGAAAGTGAGGCAGTGGTTGCTTCGGTGTCTCATGTGTCACGAAGGGTGTGGGGCTTGCATTCATTTCTGTCTTTTTTTCTGTACTTCGGGTCTGTCAGCGTTGAGAACGTGTCGCAAAGGCAAACTCATTCGTCTCACTTCTCTTCAAAATCATTTAACCAACTTTTGAGAATGTTTTCACCGGAATTTGGAATTTTGCTTTTCTGATCACCTTTTTGCCACCCTGTGAACACCCCATGACTGAAACACTGTCCCCACTTAACACTGTGCCTTGTGTTAATTAATTGTAGCTACCCCTCCCCCGTGGAGCTGTAAAATAGGGCTTCCTTAGCTTCCTGCCCTTATCTGCCTAAAAGCATGGCATGGGTTTCCCTCCATGAAGGTGGCCTTCCTCCCTCCCTCCAGGACCAGGGTGAGGAGAGTGCCCTTATCGCAGGAGACAGAGCTGGCCCCAAGATGAGCCTGCATAAGCCTTCCTAAAAAAATAACTCCTATCTTCCACTAGTCCCCCATATGTCCCCTGGTTACTGCCCCACATGTGACCTCCCTGGAGCCCAAGCCCTCTTTTCTCGGTTAAGATGGGTGTATAAGCTGCTTTTAGTCACTTTTTTGTGAACTCCTGTGCACATAAAAAATATTAATAAGTTTGTTGTTCCTTTTGCCCTGTCAAAATAAATCAATTAAATTGTATAGGCTTCCTTTCATTTCCTTCTACAGTAGTCAAAATTAATTACTGCTGTGGAGGAAGCGAGGCTCAGAAATGATTCTTTCCTTGCTATCATCACCTTTGATTATTAAAGCCCATTATTAATTTTTTTTTTTCCAAAACTCTGACTTTTCTCAAAGGTCATAGAAATGTAAAAATAGAATGCTAACCCCTAATACATTCCTTTAAATAGCTACAAACTTCATTCCTTTGACATCCATTTTAACTGTTCAAAAAGTGTCTTCCTTTCGTTAGTAACCATGTTTTCTTTGAGGTAGTGGTGTGGGGAGCAACCAGCAACAAAACATTTAAATTTTAAAAATGTCAGAAATGCTAAGTTCAGACTTAACCAAGTTTCTGTTCTGAAAAGAGAGAGTCCTGGAGATGGCTGGCAAAATGCTGCCTAGGAAGGTCTGCGGGACCAAGACGACCCAAGTGGAGCAACACTGCCACCTAGAGGCCGCAAGTCTCAAGTTCTGTAAACCCTGCCATAGGTTTTTCCCCGGAGTCTATGTACACACAGAGGGCCTGACTTCATCCATCATTTCTCTTATCCTGAGGAACACTGTATGTGATATGAGTAAAATGTAAACCTAATGCTTTTGACCAAGAATTCTATTGCTGGGAAATAATTGTTAAACAGAAAGCCAGCCAGCCTGGTAGAACAGAAAAAGCAACGTAGAGGTCAGTCATCTGGAGTCCTGGGGCCCGACCAGAGTGGGCCACCAATGGAGTGGGGGGACCTGGATAAGTTCCCCAAAACTTCTAGGTCTCAGCAGCATTTCATCTGAGAAGAGGCACATAGATCTAAGGGAGGCGGATCTCTTGAGTGTCCGAACACAGCTGAAAACCTCAGTAGAGATTATGGTGGGAAGAAAACATAGATGTTTTGTCTCACAAGATTGTGTACTTAATTAGAAAGAACTTTACATTCTGAAATGAAAATTATAAAAAAAAAAGTGAGTAAATAAGTGATTATGGTAAAAGAAAAATTTTTTAACTTCTAAAGATAAAGCTCCAAAACAGCAAGCAAGTCGTTAGGGTCTCCTTGTGTTTACTTCAGTTACGCCGTGCCTGGCCCGTGGGTATGTGAGCAGGCCCACCTGCCTCTTGCCTGAAATAGCTCAGACTGCACTGGAATGAGCTGTCAGCCCTGCTGGTGTGTCCAGGGTGCTCTTTAGCTCTGGCTATCTCCCAGCTGAAATGCAGAATGGGATTCTGGTTGGAGTTTCAGGATGGAGTCACTGAGTGCAGTTGTTGAGCAAAACCATAGTTCGCAAGCAGCAGGGAGACAAATAGCATGACCAGATCTGCTTTTTAGAAATAACCTTCTGGTGGCAGTTTGGAGGGTAGGTGGGAGAGGAGGGCAGCTGAGGTGCGGAAGCTAGTTCGGTGGCTGATGCAATAACCAGATGAGGAATGCCGTTAGGGAAAAGATTGGAACCGGTTTTTACAGGAAGAGTTTATGATGTTTGGGGAATAGACTCACAGAAGGAAATAAAAACTTCTCTGGTCATTCTGGATGATAGGCGATCCAGACAGTGGCTTAAAAGTTTCGGGTATATTCTTTCTGGACTCTAAAATAAAGGAATCTCTGGGCTTGTCTGTGATGACTAGACGGTTAGTTGACTTACAAAATGAGTTTCAATTAAATATCTAAATGGCAGCTGGAATAAGAAATCAAAGGGTATTGACGGGAAAGAAAACGCACTTCATTAGAATTCCCAAACCTTGAAAGCACTCACAGAGGGAAGTTAATCACATGCTTCTCAAGGAAACGGCGTGTGTGTGTGTGTGTGTGTGTGTGTGTGAGACCTGTACATGCTTTGCATTTTTGTATGACATCTTTAGTCTAGGAAGTGGTGTGTTACAAAAAATACTTCAAGTTATACTAACAGGAAACATAAATGTAATTTCGCAGTTCGTAGTTTTCCTGGGGCTGCTCCCTTTTTTTTGGGGGGGGGCGCTTATTAGCAGAAAAGAGGGCAGTTACCTGATTGTTGGAACATTAGAGCCCCTGCACGCAAACGTTTTCCCGGTTGGCCGATGATAACGTGACCGTGGGCATCTCGCCTGTTGCAGGTGCGCGTGTTCGTGAACCAGCTGTACCAGCCCAGCCTCGTGCGGGAGGTCAGCCGAAACCCAGACCTGCAGGCCATCCGCATCGCCGCCGTGAACCCCATCCTGGACCCCTGGATCTATATCCTCCTGCGCAAGACCGTGCTCAGCAAGGCCATGGAGAAGGTCAAGTGCCTCTTCTGCCGCATCGGCGGCGCGGGCGC